TCCTCACAAACTTGCACCCCGTTCCCGCCCTTGTATCTTCCTTGGTTATTGTCCTCAACGTAGCGCCTATAAATGCTTTGACTCTGACACCCAACACATTTTTTTATCTCGTCATGTCATTTTTTGTGAGGATCAATTTCCAGGGTACACTCCTGCTTCGCTCCATGACCTTCCTCAACCAGCTTCTTGATTCCTCGCCTACCATTACCACTCTCCCTAGGCCTGAACAGCTCTCCACATCACCCACTGGGCCTCGCCAGGCTTCCCCACCCTTAGCAGCAGCTTCCCCCGCGCAGGAGTCCTTCTCAACTGGGCCTCCCTCTGCCCGCCCGGCCCATTCGACTGCGGGCCCTTCCCGCCCCGCCACTCCTCCGCCCGGGCTTCTGGTTCCCCCCGGCCCGCCATCTGCTCCCATCCGCCATCACTCTATGCGGACTCGGGCTCAAGATGGAATCTTTAAGCCCAAAAAGAGGCTCTTTTACACTCAGACAGCGACTGGGCCTCCACCCCTTCAGCCCACTTCAGTTAAGAATGCTCGTCGCTATCCTGAATGGCGGACTGCCCTTTCTACCGAGAATAATGCTCTAGTTGCCAATCATACTTGGGACCTAGTACCGCGTCTTCCTCATTACAATGTTCTTGGTAATCGGTGGGTATTCCGGGTTAAACACCATTCCGATGGGACTATTGAACGTTTCAAGACTCGCTTGGTGGCTAAGGGCTTTCATCAGCGCCCCGGTCTCGATTTTCATTATACATTCAGTCTGGTTGTCAAGCCTGTAACCGTTCGGACTGTTTTTACACTGGCTCTCTCTCATAATTGGCCAATCGCTCAGTTTGATGTCAATAACGCCTTCTTATAGGCTCCCTTACAGGAGGAAGTTTACATGACTCAGCCCCGGGTTTCGTTGATCCTGCTCATCCTACATATGTTTGTCGTCTGCGTCAGGCTATCTATGGTCTTCGTCAGGCTCCCCGGGCCTGGTATACTGCCTTGACTGAGTTTCTTCTTGAGTTTGGCTTCACTAAGACTCACTCTGATGCCTCTCTCTTTGTTTACTGGCGGGGCGGGTGCTCCTCTACTTCTTGGTCTACGTCGATGATCTGCTGCTCACCGGCAATGACGCTAGTGTACTCTCTTCCTTCCAGGCAGCTCTATCTGCACGGTTTTCGCTCAAGGCACTTGGTGATGTGAACTACTTTCTTGGTATCGAAGTCATTCCGACTTCCACGGGTTATATTCTCTCACAGCATAAGTACATGCTTGATATACTGCAGCGATTCCAGTTCACAGATATGAAGGCTACCCCTCTTTCTGCTTCTGCTACTCTCACTCTGCATGATGGCAGTTCCCCCACTGATGCTACTCGCTATCGGCAGGCCTTGGGGGCTCTGCAGTATCTCGTCTACACCCGGCCGAACATTGCCTACTCTGTCAACAAGCTCTCTCAATATATGCATGCTCCCACGGCCTCTCATTGGCTCTGTGTCAAGCGCCTACTTCGGTATGTCTCCGGCACTCTCACTTATGGTCTCACTATCAGCCGGCGGCCTGGCCCTCTTGATCTCTCTGCCTTTGCTGATTCTGACTGGGCTGGTAATCTTGATGATCGGTCTTCCACTTCCGGCTACCTCATCTATCTTGGCTCCACCCTCATATCTTGGCGGTCTCGAAAACAGCGCACGGTGGCTCGTTCCAGCACAGAGGCTGAATACCGTGCCATTGCTCATGCCACTGCTGAATTGGAATGGATTCAAAATCTTCTCCAGGAACTCCGCCAACCATTGTCCTCGCCTCCGATTCTCTACTCAGACAATCTCGGGGCTACCTACTTCAGCTCTAATCCAGTCTTCCACTCCCGCATGAAGCACTTGGCCTTAGACTATCACTTCGTTCTTCAATTGGTCCAAGACGGGCGGCTTCGCGTTACCTACATCCCCACGGCCCATCAACTTGCTGATGCACTCACTAAACCACTACCCTCAACACGGTTTCTTCTTCTTCGCTCCAAGCTTGGTGTCGCCGATACCTTCACCAGCTTGCGGGGGCGTATTAGAGATCACTCCCAAAAAGCATCTTGACTTTTATTTCTTTTATTCTTTATTCTCTCCCACTCTTCTGTTACCTCTCTCCCTCTCGTTCCTACCTTTGAGGAACGTGGGGTTGTTTCTGTTGCTACAAACACTCCCTTGTATGTATATAATTAGCTTCGCAGAATCTCAATAAAATCAAGTCAGTTGTTTTGCAACAATACTACTCCTAAAATATCTTACAGATTAAGCCTAATTAGCAGGGCAGTTGCTAACAACCCTTTTTGATGAATAAATATCCCATCGATTCATAAAAAAAAAAACTAAAATTCCCCTTATTTTTTATCATTCAATAAAGGCAAAATTCACTTCTATATCCATAACTTTCACGTTTGTGACAAATATATCCATAACTATCGAAATACACGAAATACCCGGAAAAACGTACTATCGTGTGACAAATCTATCCATTTCCGTTACAAACTTTAACGCCGTTAGTGACGCTGTCAGTTATGTTAGTTATACGCTGACTAGGACGCCAGATCAGTGCACACGTCATCAAAAAATCAACACCAAATGACACGGAAATTACACATCATATTTACTTACATATATTAATTTTAAGAAATAAAAAAAATCAATTTCGTAACTCTTCCCCTTCTGCCCCAACTTCTCCTCTCCGCCCCAACTTCTCCTCTCCGCCCCATCTTCTCCCCTCCGCCTACTCCCACCGCCAAAGCAGACATCAAATCTGCCACCACTCATTGTCGACATCTATCCGCCACCACTGCCCACTCCCACCGCCGACATCAAATCCGCTACCACCGCCCACTCCCACACCCAAAATAAAATCCGCCATCAATACGTTGAACTTGTTAGCCTTCTAAACACCCCTAATCGCGGCAGCTAGCGGCGGCGCGACGGAGTAGGTCACGACCTCACAATATGAAACTCGCCGAAATCAGCGTTTTTCTCCCGAAGATGCTTACTCCTGCCGTCTCATTCCCTGTCGATGCTGGAGTTAAAGGTAGGGCAGGTGGAGATCGATTGAAGCAGACCACGACGGCGATGATGCGAGCGACAAGGGCATCAAAGACGGTGATGCGACTTCGAGGAATGATGGTGACGGCATCGAGGATCTGCTTCGCACCCGCTAGCTCCATCGCTGCCAGCTCTCGCCCCTGCTTCCAGTCAACCCGGTGGCTTCTAACTCTACTTGCGCCAATCGTCGTCAAAGGAAGCACAAGAAGGTTTCGTCGGAGTATTTGGAGCTCGGTGATGGAAGGGTTCTGGGGCGAGAGGAAGACGAACAGGTTGGGCGATCTGCAGGGTTCCATTTATTATTTTTTAGTTAAAATTTTTAAAGTTAAATCCTAGCATTTTTTATTTTTTTTATTTTTCTGTTAATCCAGATAGATGGGTGGGGACGGAACTTTGCCAACTCAACTATTCCGTGAGTATAGTCATACTCTTAACCTGACACCGTTAAATAGATGGACGGAATTGGGTATTTCGTGTATTTCGATAGTTATGGATATATTTGTCACAAACGTCAAAGTTGTGGATATAGAAGTGTATTTTGCCTTCAATAAATTATAAACACTCAATTTCCTTCCTCTTTCTCTTCCATAAATTTGAAAGAACCAAATTTCCCTCATCCTTCTTTCCTTCCACAAAAATTGAAAACTCAAAATTTCCATCCTTATTTTTCTTTCACAATAAAAAAACCAAACTTTCCCATTTTCCACAAATCAAAACCACCAAAATGCCCCTTTTTTCTTTTCTAAGAAATTCAAATAACCTAATTCCCTCTTCTTTCTCTTCCAAAAAAGTTGAATACACCAAAATTTTCATATTCTTTTAAAAGCATCAAATTACCAAATACATTGATTTACTTTTTTTTATATTTAATTGATAATTTTATTGAAAACTTAAATTAATAAAATTTTAATTTATATATTATATTAATATGGTCCTTGATCTCAATTATTAATTATTAATATTCGCACTCTGTTGGTTTTATATTTCATATTTACTTTTATAATTTTGTTAAAGAACTTAGTGTTCAAGTGACCTTCATGTTTCAATTTTTGTAATTTTCTTAAAATACATAATATCAAGTGAGTTTCATATTTTTTAATTTTTTTATCCGAAATGAAGACATAATTTTACCTAAGTTTAGAATGAAAATCTTTATTTTGAAAAACTATGTATTATATAATATAATAATTATTCAAGTGGATTAGGTGAAGTTCGGGTTGAGTCTGTCGGGTTGCGGGTTAGTCGGGTTCGGGTTTAATCGGGTTCCGGGTTAATCGGGTTGCGGGTCAGGCGAGTTATGGGTTGTTAACTTTTAGTCAATTCGAGTTGCGGGTCGGGTTGATCGGACGGATTAGTCGGATCGGGTTCTGTTTTGACACCTATAAAACATTATGGTCTAGTTCATTAAAAAACTACTCCGCAATTCCTCTGGATTTTAAAAAGATTAACTAGTGAGAGAATTCAGGCAATTGGAAGCACTGAGATCCAACATCTTATTCTCGTATTATTTGTAATCATCAACCTACACAAAGTTAATATTACAAAATTCCATGATTCATTCTATTTATATATGCTTAATTAAAAGCGTCTAATAAGAAAGCAAAGAAGTACAGGACGAAATGAACATTCGCGGGCAGCCGGGCAGCACCACAAGTTACAGGGGTTTGAAAGGAGAAGAAAATAACAACAGGGTGAGCGGGCAATAAAAGTAGTTTAATCATTTCCTGACCGAACCCCCCTCCAAACGTCTCTTCTTAGCTCACAAACGCAGAGAGAGCGAGAAGCACAAGAGGAAAACACAAGGAGCACAATGGCTCCAATCTCCAACCTCTCCCAGCCAATCAACGAATCGAACGCGGATCGCTGAGGTGGCATTAATTTTTTTGTAAAATCCCGCCTAAACCCCTCCAACTTTCATTTCGTGGGCAATTGAATCTCAATTTCCACCATTTCTCTCTATCTCCCTTCCCTCTCCTCTTAATACCTCCGCCTTTCAGCGTTAAAGGCGTCCATTTCATTCTCCCCTCCTGTCCTCTCGCTCGCTTGCTTCCCCCCCACGAACCCTAGCTCGCCGGTCAGGTGAGATCTCCTCGTCAATTTTTGACTTGATTTCCACTCGGGTTTCGTCCATTTCGCGGGGCGTTTGAGCTGATCTGGTGATGTTTTTTTGTTTGGCAGAATTCGCGATGAAGGGAGGTAAATCCAAGTCCGATGCCAAGAACACCAAGTGAGCTTTCCCTGCCCCTTCCTTCCTCTTTGCTTTTCCCGTTTGGATTGAATTCCAGAGGAGAATCTTAATCGCCAGCCGTGCCGTGGATCGATCGTAGATCGAGTTTGTTGAGCTGACGGTCGTGTTTTTTTTTTTTTTTTTTTGGTGGTGGTGGTGGTTTAGGTTGTCGGTGGCTAAAAAGCCTGCTAAGCCGACGAAGAAAGCCGCTAAAGCAGCCAAAGACCCCAACAAGCCCAAGAGGCCACCGAGTGCCTTCTTCGTCTTCATGTAATTATTCTCCTCCCCTGCTCTCGAGATCCTTCTCCCATGTTGGTTGAGCAATTTTCATTGTTTTTCTTTAGGGTTTATGAATCGGAAGTGATGAATTGTTTGAATTGGGCTTCTGATTCGTTTTGCTCGGGTGTTTGTTTGGGTGGTTTGACTATCTGGTGTGCGCTAGGTTTACCGTGTAATGATTTTGCTTTCACGACTGTAGGGAGGAGTTCAGGGAGACGTACAAGAAGGAACACCCCAAAAACAAATCAGTTGCAGCTGTAAGCGGTTCCATCCATCTCCGCCCGCTGTGTTTGCTCTATGTTTGAGCTTAAATTGCTGGTTTTGTTGATTGGTTTTCTGTTGCTTTGTGTGGATATAATCTCAGGTAGGTAAAGCTGCAGGAGACAAGTGGAAGTCTTTGACCGATGCTGTGAGTAATCAATCTAGTGGGACGATGATGGTTGCTTCTGTTTGTTCGATGCTTTGGATTATCGCTGATCTGAGTTGAATTTGGGCAAAAAATTGTAGGAGAAGCAACCCTTCATCTCCCGAGCTGAGAAGAGGAAGGCTGAGTATGAGAAGAAGATGAAGGCCTACAATAAGGAACAGGTGGGTTGTCTTGCTTAATTGGGTTTACCGTTGTGTTGTTGGTTAGGAATGCATTCTGATGTAGCATATTTCTTTGGTCGGAAATTCAGGCCGAGGGACCCAAGGAAGAAGAGGAGTCCGAGAAGTCGATGTCCGAGATTAATGACGATGAGGATGACGAAGAGGGAAGTGGAGAGGTCAGTTGAAAATGGACTTTAATTATTTGATTCTAAGTCCCTTGATCATTTATACAGCCCGCTGATTATCTCCTGGAAATTCATTTGTGGTGGTTTCGACAGGAAGAGGATGACGAGGAGTAAATGAATGGGAGAAGAATAGAGAGCCCTGAAGTCACGTAGCCTGATCACAACGTACCCTTGGAAAACATGTCTAATGGCTGGATGGATAATTTCATCTGTCAATTAATTTTTCCCAGTTACTACCCACCTTCTGTCTCCTAAGAGGATGTAATCTTTTCTCCCCCACTTTGTTTCATCCTCCTCTGTAAGGAGTGTATGGTCTGGTTGCGCGCGATAGTTTGTTGTAGAAGTGGGGAGATCGAGTCTATCTGTAATCTGAATCAAGGTTCAATGATTTAGCTGAAATGGTTCTCTTCTGTAGATTCTGAACTCGGTTTCGTGTTGTATCCTCCAGTTGCTTGTTCATGTCTTCTGCGTTGATTCTTTCAGGACTTGTGTCCCAAATCCCAACCCTTTTTCTGAAATGTCATCGCGATGTCTCTGCATATTTGTGTTTCTACGGGTTGACCAAAGATAATGATTGGTTTCACCTGAAAAGTCAGTCAGATCATGTTTGTCATCATTGCTGAGGTGGTTAATTTCTGTTTGTAGTCTGTTCTTCGTCAGAGTGGAGGGTAACGAACTTCCGAACAGTTGCAACTGTAGTTTCTTTTTCCTGATCATGATTCTGATTGCTTTGATTTGATTGGATTGGATTGGATGTCGGCTTTGGTCATTGGAAGGTTTGATCTGCGGCAGTTCAGTCTCTAATGATATAGCGTATAAAGTATACCTTTGAGTTAATAAGTTTATATCGCTCTCGTTATCTCTTGTTGGCCGATCTTATGTTAATCGATTTGAATTGACTTATCAATAACTAGACAAAAAGTATATTAATCACAATCTTCTATAAAGGTAAGAAAACGAACATATGCGATGCTAATCTATCTTATTTTGATAGATTTAGATTGATTCATGCTACGCTAATCAAGTTCATGCAATCTTATTTTGATCAATTTAGATTATTTATTAGTTAAAAAACAAAACTGCCCTGATCATGCTCGTGTTATCTTATTTTGATCGAGTTAGATTAACTCTTAGATTGAATATCAAAAGCAATGTGAATAAATGGTGTTATTACTTATTATCCCATCTTTCCCTTCCCGCCTCATTATTGGGTTCGCAGCCTTTTCTGGGCTTGAATGTGCCTTTGGTTTGTACAGTGAACTCATGTGACCAAGTAGGCTTATCTATGGAATGAGGATGTTGTTGGGCCCAAATACATTCAAGGATAGGAACTACTGACTCCCTTCCTAATCTACCCACTTATATAAGGAGATTCTCGGTGAAGAGTGGGTTAAAACAAGATTAGGAGGTCTTGCCGCATCACACGGAAGGCCATAAAAGTCTTTCTACATTATTTTAGTGAAAATCAATATGAATTTAAAATAAAGTAGCATTCCAGATTATATCTCAATATTAATATACACACCAATATAAAATAGTTCTCCATAATAACATGATAATTTTAAATTCCCTCAATGATTTTAGAAAGGATGACTTTGTCTTTTTAATTAAAAAGGCACATAAATTACCATCGATAGGAAGTTGATCCAGTGAGTAACTCAGTTTTTCATAACCACTGATAACCATCATCGAGAATTCATTAAAGAAATATAATTTTTCCTCTAATTAATTTAACCAAACTAGATCTCTTTGGTTTTAAGTGCTAATTTATTTTGTCACATAAAAATCATATTGCTTGTGCTATTCAAAATAGCATCTACTTTAATATATGTTGGGAAAAAAATTGAGACATATATTACAAGTTATACCATGATGGTAACGTTTAATAGTACAAAGGATTATATCATAGTAATTTGAAAGTGTATCATGATAGTGTGAATAAAATATAGTGTAGAATTGTGAGAATTTATTGCATAACCCCTTTTAATCTGGCATGGATAACAGGGGCTGCAATTATGAGTTTTTCAATATCCATCCAATTTAACATACATGTCTCATTTGTTTCATCTTCGATTTTTTAAAAATTGGATTAAAAATAATATTTAATTGAAATCTTTCAAAGAAAAGTTGAAAAAGAGTATGACGAGTATTTTTACAAGAATTATACACCAATATCAAACAAAACACTAGATAGGTAACAATTTACCTCTAATATTCCATTCTTTTTTCTCTGCAACACATGTGATGTTAGATCAATGAAACTGAGTAATTTGAGTCAAAATCAAATTTATACGAACTAAAATAAAGTAGAATTGAATAAAGCTGTAAGATTATATCTCAACAATAATATAAAGTAATTCTCAATAGTAACATGGTTAATTCTAAATTTTCATTGAATGATTTTAGGAAGGATGATTTGGCAATATGATGTTGAGTTGGAAAAGACACATGCCAGTCAACATTCCAAAATTTTAGTATTTTCATTAAGAAAAGAATTATGAAATTATTAACGATAACAAATAAATGATTAGTATATTGATGTGTTACAAAATATTTGGCTAATAGATTATATTTCTAAAGATTTGGCTAATAATTTGAAAAGTTAGAAAGGTTTGACAAATCATTTTTGTTTACCTATAGACATATGATGTATCTTCCTTTTTTTATATTGGTATAAACGAATGGTTTGTACTCTTTTATGATAGCAAATAACAAAGTAACTTGATTCAGATAATTACTATTACTCTAATTCTCTTTATACTAATAAGAATGACAATAGGGCAAGTATGGGGCGGGTATCTCGATACCCATATCTGCCCAATGGTAGGTCGAGTAATTTATCACGGGGCGCGGATCAGGGCAGGTCAACCCAATGAGTATGTAATTTATGCGAAAAACATTAGAAATATTCATTATTTCATTAAAAACAAGGAAAGAAACCATAATATGATAAAAATGTAGTTAAATTATTGAAGAAATTGAGGTTTTCAATTATTTACAACTTTATTATAATTAAAATATAACATAATAAGAGGGAAATTCTAAGTAATTTCACTAAGATTATATGTAATTTAAACAAGAACGGGTCGAGAATGGGACGAGTCAGGGCAGGTCGGGTCGATGAGAGGTAACCATGCTCGCCCCACTCCGCCTACGGGCCGGGTCCGGCCCGCACTAAAACACGTCAAACAGTTCATGTAAATTGGGTCGAAATTGTCATCCCTATATACTATTAATATAATGTTATTAATCCGGCCAACGGGCGGGCCCTAATCTAGTTTCTAATAATAAAACATTGCGAATTTCTTAAAAGTTTTTGGGTTTTATCATTGAAACGCTATTTATGTTTTCCTTAATTTGCGGGATTATAAAATTATGCAGATAAGGGTGGGTGACAAATATACCATGGATAATTGTTCGAATTCGGCAGCGGCATAGAATAAAATTCGAATTTTGAACGATTTTAAAATAGATATGGGTAAATTTCAAATTTGAATCTTGCCGATGATGTATGAGCATGATTTGCACAATATCCAACCTGAATCTGCTCGATTTTATACACATATGTATTTTGTTTAGATGATCATTATTTTCTCAATATATTTGATATTTATTAAACATATACAATATTTTCATGAAATTGTATATTGTTTTAACTAATCTTCTTTGTTATTGTCATATGATATTCTACCCGATTCTTGTATGAGTATTGTTAATACTTAACTATTTTAGGTAGGGTAATTAATATGCACTATTCACTTCCGACCCGACTAGTTGTCGTACCTAGATGAGGATGTATGTTTGACGAAATATTATGAGTATTAGGCACTGATATACCATTTATAAATTTAATTTCCCTTACCATAATTAACGAAATGTGATTGGAAGTGAAATATTAGGGTGGGTGTGCTCAGACATAGTCGACAATTGATCAATGAGTCTGATCGAGCCGATGCTTAATTTGACGTGATTTCAAAATTCTGTCCGATTCTATTTGGTTGGATTCATTCCAGTTAAAATGTCGAAGTACTTAAAGCTAATTAAAATCAGCCGAAATCAATCAAATCAAATCATATGCATGCATCTCCCCTTTAACTAAGGGGAAAAAACATTTTATTACACTGTTGAACCGGCCAAATACCCAGTTGAACCGGCCAAATCAAATCATATGCATGCATCTGACCAAACCGGGCCGTGGACCATAGAGTGGATTCTTCGCGTGGGAAAAAGACCGCGGGAAACCCGCGCAATCAAGGCTAAAGTGCGCCACCCACCCACCACCACGCCGCCTCCATTCTCCCGCTACAATACGCCAAGAAACAAATTTCAAAAAAGTCTCCATCTTTATCCGCTTTTTCTTCTTCTTCACCTCCCCCATTTGCTTTCCTTTCCATTTTTATTTCAAAACCCCCCCAAACTGAGAGCTGGGTTTTGTGGCGAGTGAGCTAGCACCGAAACGATGATGGAGTGGCGGCAGCAGCAGCCGGTCGACGCCGGCGTCGATCATCGTCAGACCCAGCTGGGAAGCGGAGGAGGGATTCACAACAATGCGGCGGCGCAGGCGCTGATTGGAAGTGGGTTAGGTGTTAAAGTGATGACCGACGAACAAATGGAGATTCTTCGGAAGCAAATCTCCGTTTACGCCACGATTTGCGAGCGGCTCGTCGAGATGCACACATCCTTCGCCCTCAATCGCCCTGAATTTTCCGGTTCAGCCCCTCTCTTTCTGCTTCTCTTTTTTTTCCCCATAGGGTTTCGCCATTTTCGGCCTGAACATTGAGTAGGAGAGAAAAAGCTTGTAAGTGGAAGTAGGGCAAGTTGAAACTGTTTCCAATTGAGGGGTGGGATAACTTTTGGGAGGATGGCTTCATTGAAGTAGGAATCATTGGTTGTCTTCCATTTTCTGAATTGCGTAATTTCCTTGATGCCCTTGTTTGTCCACTGCGATTGTCGTTTCTGCTAGTGGTGGATATATCATGCTCAGGATGCCTATGTTTTTTTGTTCTGCACGAAGGTGTTCTGTATATAGGGTTAGGCATGAAGGATCGGATAGGAAATGAAGGAAATGCTTAGCATCATCGACACATTCGTTTCTATTTGGTTCGGCCTTAGTATTTAGTTGTGGTAAAGATGCAATAGGATCGAAATTATATAAGATCGATTCAGTCTGATTAGGTCGGGTGGGGACCGAATTGCCCATCCACTATCTGCTATGTACTCCAGTCTTCACTTAGTTTCTTAATTGTATTCCTTTGTTCTAAGCTCTTCTTTAATCGTTAAATTGAGGTTGGTATCTATGGTAAGTTGACATGGCAAGAAGTTCATATGCTGGCTTGTTTACAATTCAAGGTATGCTTCCAGGGAATGCTTATGGCGACCCTTTATCATCCTGCGGTCCATCCAGGATTCCTTCAAGGCAAAGATGGGCGCCAAAGCAGGCACAACTGCAAATCCTCGAGCGCATCTTTGCGCAGTGCAATGCAAATCCAAGCAAAGAAAAGATCAAGGAGATCACCGCCGAGCTGTCCAAGTACGGTCAAGTTAAAGAAGCCAGCGTCTACAACTGGTTTCAGAACAGGAGGGCTCGCTGCAAGAGGAAGCAATCATCAGCTCCAGGAGCGCCGAAAGCTGTTAACTTTGATGTTGAAGCAGAGCTGGATGCTGGTGCCAAGGAGAAGGAGAAGGAGAAACCAGCAGAAGATGAGAACGAGAATGAAAACGAGCAGCTTATCGTCGATCAGCTCTACTTCCACAGTCCAGAGATCGGTAGGCATTTTTTGTGTCTATTAAGATTTCATTTGCATATGATAAGGGGGTGCAACGCATAGATCGGTCTGAGATCTGGATCAATCCATCCCAACCATTGAACAGTGTATGTTAATATGGTCCTTGTGGCTTCTCCTTTTCTGTGTGCAGGGATTGACCAACTGATTGGCAAATTAGAGGTGTGTGAAGGGTACAATTTATACTGGCAGGACCAGCAAAATGGCTTCTCCTGATGATTGCTTCTTATGAAGATAGATCTGTTATAGAGCTGCTTCAGCAGACAGCTTATCAAGTTAGACATCATAGTTGAAATGTAAAATAGTTGCGAAATATATATGGTTTAGGAAAGGGGAATTATGTGGTATAGGAGGATAGTATTAGTAAGAGATCAGGATATTGTTCAGGTTAGTAAGTGTTATGGGATTCTTCTTGGCTTGTAAGTTGAGTGATTGTTTGTTGCTTTATTGGAATCTTATGAACTCCCTGGGGGCTGGGCTTTTCAGTTTGTTAGGAATATGAATGGCAATGGGTAGCTATATGCCTATATTCATTAGGACATTACTTCTATTTGAACTTTTTTATGGGTTGAATTGGAATATGATCTTATTCAATGTGGTTATTAAAGCTACATCCTTTGCATTCAACAACTATTTAATTCTAAATGGATATTCTTCATACAAGAAAATTTTAGTACACCATAACAATTAACAAGTGATAAAATTGTTAACAACTCCAAAAAGAGTAAAAACAAACACATAACTACTACTACTACTAGAATATAAGGATCTGCATATTCATTACACAATGAAAATACAGATGAACAGTGATCTCAGGGCAGTTCTTTCTGCAGCTTCATGGCCTTCTTCAGTCCATAGCTTGTTTCACAACTGTTGATGTAAAAGCAAGGCCACCATTGTTAAGAGAAAGCACTGGAAAGAAAGAAAGGAAGGAAACAAAAGATAGTAAACCAGAGAAATCTGTCCCACCGGCGGCCACCTCTGCAGCGGCCTTCTTCTTCTTCTTGGCTTTCTTCTTGGCGGTGACCTCGGGCCTCTCGTAGACTGTAATCATGGGCTGCCTGTCTTGACTCTCAGGACTCTGCCATATGATTTTCATGGGTTTCCCATCCTCGGACAAACCTCTCTCTCTCTCTCTCAACACTTAGCTCGTTTTTACTTGGGTGATGTCGGCTTCCTCTTGCAGTCAGAAAACATGGTGGAGGGGGGGAGGGAAATATATAATCTCTCAGTTAAGCCTTTCAGCAGGGAAAAGGAGGGGGTGAGGGGTGACGCCATTGCCGTGTCCTGCACCCGGAGTCTCACCAGCAAGGTTGTCAACCCGCGAGTTGACCCGGACCCGGTCGAGTTAGTGGGTCAAAGGTTAATGGGTCAACCGTTTTAACCCGGAAATATAGAAAGAGTCATTATATTGCACTTATCCTCATAAATCATATAAAATCTTATCTAACATATGAGTTATAACATATAATATTACACCAAAATAACATATCGTACTTAGATCCAACATATAGTGAAAATTCACACACACTTTTATAACATGAATATTCAAATGTTCAACTTAGTATTCCAAAGATTGAGTTAGGCGAAAAGAAAAATTTGAAAATAGGCGCATTTCGCAAACTAAAGAAAAAAAAATGACACAATTTGACCTCCAACCTGGTATCTAATAGCGGTCGGCCCGGCGGGTGCGTGCGGCCCGTTTTTCTCACCGGGTCAGGGTCAAATTGGGTCGACCCGTGGGTCAACCCGCGGGTTGGTAACCTTGCTCACCAGTCACTAGGGATGGCAATGGGGCGGGTTTGCCTAAACCATCCCCATCCCCATCTTCAAATATCCAAACCCATACCCGCCCCATACCCATGCGGGGGAAGGTTTTGCAAACCCATCGGGTTTCGGGTATCCATGTGTAATACCCATCCCCGTACATCCAACATTATTATACCTAAAACTTACAAGAAAATTTTTAATTATAACTGTTGGGGTAATAGAGATAAGCCCATGAAAGTCAAAAGCCTGTTGGGCCTGAAGCCCATTTATGGCCTCTCTAGGGCATGACCTAGGTACCCCCAGGAGAAGAGGGGTGCATAGCGACAAAATAGACTCGCGGACAAGGGAGTACGGATGTGCGAAATCGGAAGGGCGCCACGAGGCAAGTGGTCCCCCTATGCGCCCCGACGTGGAAGACGGACAGCGCGCCACGTGTAGGCGCGTAGGCGTTAGACCAGACCAGACATTTAATGCTGGGATGACGTAAGGCTTGGTGGCAGGAGTTGGTCGGGGGTTGGTCGAGGAGCTCGAGTAGTATAAATAGCACTCGGTAGGTAGCATTTAAGCAGATCGGTTTTCTCACACTAAAACTTCTCTCTTCACTTCTCTCTCTAGAAACACTACTGACTTGATCGTTGGAGTGCTAACGGAGGGGCTTAGCCCTCTAGACGTTAGTCTTGCAGGGCCCAAGCGCTCGGCGTGGAAGGAAGTAAGCGCTACACGGGTGAAAAAGTATCGTGGCACAAACAATTGGCGCGCCAAGAAGGGGGCGTTCGGCAGGTTTAGGAAGATGGAAGACTTGAATGTGGGGAGTGTGGGCACTGAGGAGGTAGGAACGGAGGATTCCAGTCGCGAGGGGAGTGAGCAACGATCTAGTCCTATAGTGAGCATGGAGGTGGAGGATGAAAGCCGTGAGCGCCCATCTATGGAAAGTGATACATTGTCGAAGAGGGAGCTGTTCAAGATTATCGCTGACCAAGATCGGGCAATAGCCATGCTTCGGAGGGAATTGGAGCGAGGAAGGAGCGTGGATACGAGGGAGTACAGCCCCCCGGTAAGGAAGCGGGACAGGCTCATGGACGATTCGGAGGTTAGCGAGTATGGGCGCCCGGGCTATGAAGGGCCCAATTTGGAAGTGACGCCGCCTACGCGCCCGGGCGCATGGAGAGCGCCAGGAGAATGGGCCATCCCGGGGCCAGAGGAGCTGAACCCTTGGACGCATAAACGCCAGGCCAGGCGCTTTGGGATCAGGCAACCCTTAGCGCAGAGCGTGTTAATGGAGCCAGCGGGGACTACCCTCCCGCCTTTGACCAGTTATGATGGAGTCACTGACCCAGAGGATCACCTGAATATCTATTTCACGAAGATGCAGCTGTACAACAGCACGGACGCCACGTTATGTAAGGTGTTCCCCTCGACATTCGCAGGAGTAGTATTGGATTGGTATCATCAGTTAGAGGAGGGGCGCATCGAGTGCTTCGAGCAGTTTGCGGAATTGTTCTTGTCCAAGTTTGCTAGCCGAAAGCGGAGGACCTTGACTATAGGCGCTTTGTTTAAGATCAAACAGAGGGAGGGAGAGGCGCTTAGAGAATTCTATGACCGTTGGATCTCGGTCGCTATGGCCGTGAAGGATGTGCAGCCGCCAGTCCTGGGCGTGTGTCTGGAGGAGTGTACGAACAGCGAGGAGTTATGTCGAGTGCTGTCCAAGAGGGCCGTAGTGTCGACTGAAGACTTGGATAGAAGGGTTCAGAAAGTTATTGCCTTGGAGGAGACATTGGCCGCAAGGAGGGCAGAGAAAAGGCGTGTCGGCAGGGAAGAGGTCGAGGTGCGCCAGGCTCCGAGACCGTTCGTAGCGAACAATGTTCCACAGAGGAGAATGGAGGGTCAGTGCCTACCACCCAGGAGTGCGGGAAATTTCACGGAATATAACGATTCTTTGAAGAACATTCTGCAATACGTGAAGGATATGGGGTACCATGTGCGTTGGCCGGGACCCATGCGTGGTCAACCAAATGAGCGAAACCTTGACCGATATTGTGACTTCCATCGGGATAAGGGGCATCATACGGCCGATTGCTACCAGCTGAAATCAGAGTTGCAGACCTTAGCCGACCGAGGAATGCTCAACGACTTCATAAGAAAAACGGAAGAGCGGACTCACCGCGCGTATGTCACAAGGGAAACAAAGCCGGCGCCTGTTGTGCCGGTTGAGCCAAAGGCGCCTAATCTCCCCTAATGCAGCAGGCGCCTGATACTCTCCCGCCCCCACTTGAGATACCCCCACCTCCGTTTGAGTTGAATCAGGAAGGGGAGCCCAACCGGGTTAGACTCACGGTGGAGTCTATAACTGGTACTGTTGACTTGCGAGACAAGTTGGATCGGTCTAGGCGCCTCAGGGCTGCATCTGTGGAGGCAAAGGCGGCGGTCCAAATATGCTTTAATCAGGAGGCGGATGAGGCGTGTCAAGTACCCTCAGAGGAAGCTTTGGAGATACAAGGAGTCATTGCGGGGTGTAAGGTTAAAAGGATGTTGGTGGATACGGGAAGTTCGATGGATGTTTTGTTCAAAAGCACGTTCGAGCGCATGCAGTTAGCGCCGGAATTGGTGAGCCCCTCTGATTCAGTGCTGATAGGGTTCTCAGGGGCGCCTGCCCATGTGATCGGGCGCGTGCGCCTCCCGGTGACATTGGGTGCCGAAATGTATAGAGTGACACATGCAGTGGAGTTTGGGATAGTGGATTGCCCCTCACCCTATAATGTCATACTAGGGAGACCCCTTTTGGCATTGTTCAATGGGGTAGCCTCAACTTGCCACCAAACGCTGAAGTTTGTTGCCCCACAAGGCATAGGAATTTCACGCGGAGAAAACGCCCCCCGCTATGCAAGAGAGGAGGAATGGAGAAGAAAGGGCGTACGGAAGCACAGAGTGAACCACATAGACATCCGCCCGGAGGAGGCGCCTAGGGCGGAGTCAATGGATGACGAGTTCAGTGTACCAATCGAAGAAGGGCGCCCGGACCGACAGGTACGAGTGTCAGCACAGGCGCCGGAGCACATGAGGGCACCCTTGATCGATTTATTGCGAGAATTCAGGGAGCTGTTTGCCTGGAGCCCCCAGGACATGCCAGGAGTGTCCCCAGAAGTAGCGGCGCATCGGTTGGCCGTTGAGGAAGGTAAGAGGCCTGTTCAACAAAAGCGGAGAAATTTGACTCAAGAGAAGGAAGAAGCCTTGTGGAAGGAAGTCGATAAGTTACTTGAGGCCGGGTTCGTTGAGGAGGCCAGATATATCACTTGGCTGTCAAACGTGGTGTTCGTCCCAAAACCGTCGGGGGATTGGAGGATGTGTGTGGATTTCACAAACCTTAACCGGGCGTGCCCTACAGACGCCTACCCAATGCCACGTATTGATATACTTGTGGACGCCACGGCCTACCATGAGGCGCTTAG